GTGTGCTCCTGAACGCACAGACTCGGCATCCCCCAGAAACATGGCTTGGATGGACTGTCCTGGGGCCATGCGTGAGCTTGTGTGCATGTGCGTGTGCTCCTGAACGCACAGACTCAGCATCCCCCAGAGCCAAGGTCTCCCCTCTGTGTCTTGCTGCTCTGCTCCAGGCCCACTGTGTGCTCAGCTGGACATTTGTCCCTCTGCCTGGCTCTGACTCCTATTGCCATTCAGCAGTTTCCCATCATCTGGGCTTGACACGCCATCCCTGACTCCTTCCTCTCCTGTTTCACCATGTCCAGTGAGGGCCAAGCTTCAGCTGTGTCCCCCTCTCTGTTCCCACCATCCAAGTTCATGGTCAGCATCCAGCGTGCAAGGTCACATGGCCCTGGACATGGAAATCCAGTTGAGCTTGAGGGGCTGCCATGAGCCCAGAGCATGTGGGGTACTCATTGCCCAGGGGTGGCCACTTAGGACACAGTAGGGACCTGCCAGTGCCTCTTTACATGCCCAGAGCCTGCGGGACCAGCCCAGCCTGCACCTCTGCCACACTCAGCACTCCAGGCAGCGGCAAACACGAACCACCCCCCACCCCGTGTCCTTAGGCTCCCCCTATACTTCCCAAAGCCAGTGCTTCTGTGACTCCCAGCTCCAAAGCCACCACTCCAAAAGGTCCTGAGCCTGCCCCTTCATGTCACAATCCTGAGCCAGGACACAGAAGTGGCCGTTCTCTCTGTCTAGTCTCCAGAGCACCCAACCCTTGGGCTGTGGCCTCTGGAGAAGTTTGCAGGGAGGGTGCCCTGTGGCCACCCAATCAGTGCACAAGTGAGGCCACCACCAGGGAGTGAGCACACACCAGCCCACCCTTCCTACACGTCTGTGCACACGTGTGCATGTAAATACCCAGCACCGAGATGTGAATGACCATTGGCTATGGTCGTGGGATTTGTAATGAGTTTTTTTCTTTTTTACTTATCTGGATGTTCTAGTTTTTGATGCACTACTTATAAAATTTTTAATAAGGTAAAAATAAGTATGAAAATTGGAGAAATGCTGGGAAATCAGGAAACCCCTGCAGGAAATGAAGTGTTCGTACCATGTCCACTAAAGGGCAGTCCCCACTTTGGAGCCTGCAGCACTAAACCCTCTTCCCACACGCTCAGCAGCAGAGCGACCCAGGGGCGGAGGTGGCCACTGGCCTCTGGGTGGAAGGCTTGGGTTCCTTGTGCCATACCCCAGACATGGTGGAGAAATGGGGGCAGAACTCTGGGGAGCAGGATGAGGGTGCAGCCCTGCTGACGGCTGCCTCACCCCCCACCCTCCCAGCAACAAAAGAGCATCGCGGCCATGGAGAGCACCATGGAGGCCCTGTCCAAGTCTGGCAGCCTGTTCGAGGTCACAGTCCCAGACTATAAGCAGCTCAAAGCCTGCCACCGGGAGGTCCGCCTGCTGAAGGAGCTCTGGGACATGATTGTCATGGTGAGTGTAGGGTGGGACTGGCCGGGGTAAGGGGTGCTGCTGCCTGGGGCTGAGGCCTGCAACACCATGTGAGGCTCAGGTGCCCTTTGGCTGTGAGATGCCGCAACGGGTTTTCTGGTCTTGGCTGGAGGCACCCAAAGGGCCCTGTAGTGGGGTCACTCCGCTAAAGCCTCTCTCTGCACCTTTTTCTCCGGACGCAGATACGGTCTCCTCTTCCACTGCCTCTCTCTTTTCTCCCCTCCTCCTCCCGCCTGTGGTTTCTCACATCTCAACTCTCTTTTAAACATTTTTTAAAAATAAGAAATACTACTCGTCCTAATCTGCACGAGCTGCTGTGACAGCGCCGCGTAGCTGGGAGCCTCCTGAACAAGACGTTCACTTCTCATGGTTCTGGAGGCTGGAGTCCAAGATCAGGGCAGACTCAGTGTCTGGGGGGGACCCAATTTCTGGCTCATAGATGACGCTTTCTCCCTGTGGCCTCATGTGACCGAAGGGCGAGGAGTCTCTCTGGGTCCCTTTTATCAGGGCACTAACCTTGTTTGTGGGGCTACGACCTAATGGCCTCCAAAGGCCCCCGTCCCTGTACCCTCACCTGGGGAGGGGGTTTCATTTGGGAGACACAAACATTTAGACCACGGCCCGGTCCATCTATTAGAAAGACCCTGTGGTGCTAACTTGCACTTCCTGCCGTCTGGTCATGTCCAGTGCCTTGTGCTGGTGACCGTGTGACAGTAGCGTGTCCCCTTTGGTGAGCTATCTATCCCCGTCCTCCACCCGTTTTCTAATCAGATTTTTTTTGGTTTGTTTTTTACTGTTGAGTTGTGAAACTTCTTTATGTCTGCTAGAAACAAGTCGTTTGTCAGACACGCAGTTTGCAAATAGTTTCGCCCTTCTTTTTTCATCCTCTTGACAGGGTCTTTTGCAGAGCAAAGGTTTTACATTTTGATGAAATCCTTTTTTTTTTAATTCCAGGTTAATATCAGGGTACAAACAAGGAGGGTACAATGTTTCCATCTGTTAGGTAGAGTCCCTCACATAACCGTGCCCCGCACCCAAAAGGCGTGCCATGTGCCCTTACATTGCGCCCATTAACGTGGTGCCCACCCACCCCACGCCCTCCCCTCCTCCATCCTTCCCCGTCCCCCAGTCTTGAATTGGACTGAGTTTTTCTCTTGTGGGGCTGTGTATAGGATCACCTACGGGCTTCACATTAGTACTGAGTACATTGGATTCTTGCCTCTCCATTCTTGTGATGCTTTACTAAGGAGAATGGGTTTCAGCTCCATCCAGGTTAATACAAAAGATGTAAAGTCTGCACCCTTTTATGGCTGAATGGTCTGGTGTGCCTGTACCGCAGTTTGTTAATCCATTCCTGGATCGACGGGCATTTAGGTTGTTTCCATATCCTGGCGACTGTAAATGATAAAATCCACTTTATCAGTCTTTTCCTCTCGTGGAACAAGTATCTGATGTCAAAGCTAAGAACTCTTTGCCCAGATCCTAAAGATTTTTCTCCTATAAGTTTTATAGTTTTATGTTATACATTTAAGTCTGTGATCCATTTTTAGTAAATTCTGGCATAAGGATTGAAGATTAAATTGAGCTTCATTTTTTTTGGCTTATGGACTGTTCCGGCACCGTTTTTGACAATGCTGTCCCTCCATTCAATTTCTCTCGCATCTTTGTCCCCAAAATCAGGTGGGTACGTTAGTCTGGCACTGTTTGTGGGTTCCCTGGTCTGCTCCACGGGTCTCCGTGTCTGTCCCTCCATAACAGCAGATGGGCTTGATGACCGGGGTGACCGAGAGTCACTTAGTATCAGGTGGTGTGATTCCTCCCACTTTATTCTTGGGCAAGATTGGTTTGCTAATCTAGGATTTGTTCTTTTCCATATAAATTTTAGAATACATTTGTTAAGCCTAGAATTTTAGACAAAAGTTCTGACTGACAAAAATATAATAGAATTTATGTTGCCAAATATAATTGGCCAATTCCTTCTCTCCTCCAAGAGAACACTATTATAACTTTAAGTGGAATTGAATCAACCCTGTAAACTCATTTGGGGAGAATTATTCTCTCGGTAGTTCTCCGTTCCCATACAGGAGCACGTTTTGCCTCTTTGTTTTATTTTTTAAATACATCATAATAAAATATCGTAGGTGCCCTCATGCCCATATTTTCATACATATGGGGAAAAATCTTTGGAGCCACAGGCTTTGTTGCAACCAGGCACAAAGAAATGGAACCTTCTTGATCCCTTTGCACAAATAAGCGAGTTCAAGTCTCTCTTCTGTGACTGCCCTTGCAGAACGGATCAGTGTAGTCAGAGGAATGGGACATTGCACTTTCCCATGATGAAAAATTGTTAGCACATTCTGGAGAACACAGGTCGCCTTTCCCAGAAGAGGACGATAAGCCTTTACAGGCAAGATCGCTCAAGAGAAACTCTCCAAAACAAACTAGGTAGCACACGGTACCATAATAGGATCAGAATGAGCTTAAACCTACAGGAAGGGTCACTGATTCCTCTGGGGATTGGATTCAAGTTCCAAGTCTTAGTATTTTCAAGGCAAGTGTCTTGGGAACTCTTCCCAGTTTTAGCCGACAGGGATCCCTGGCAAGCCCAAGCCTCTCCACCTCAAGCGCCAATAACAACAATCTCTGATCCCCTCAATATTACTAGCAGTTTCTAGATTTGCAGTCCGTTTCTATCCACCCCCAATTAAGGATGCAGCCCCCATACCTTCTGTTTCCACTCTTGGGGATTATTCCTGGGTATTTTGTGTGTTTTATTTCATACTTTTGTGAATGACGCTTCCTCTATTATGTTTTTGGCTGTGGGTATCTGCTAGGTTATTGTGCAGTAACAAACAGCCCTACAAGTCTCTTGGGTTTTGAATGACAAAAGTGTATTTCTTATGCCCACCAAATCCACTCTAGTTCCAAGCAGCTGCTCCTTGGGCAGCTGTCTACCCAGGAGCCGGTCAGTACTGCTGGCCAGCTGTCAGTAATGCACTTCCACGATCGCCCAGGCACGTAAAGAGACGCAGAGCTAGGTGTTGTCAGGCATCCCTCCTGCTTCATTGGCCAAAACAAGTTCCGTGGCCCCACCAGGAACTCAGGGAGAACATCAGGTCCTAGAGAACAACAGCAAGACCCTGCTTAGGTTTTTGCCAAAATATCTTTGAACTACTAACTTTTAAGCTTTTTGATTTTCTGCTGATTTTTCTTTTTCTTGTATTCCACCACTTTACTGAGCTCTGTTCTAAACATTCCTCACTGGGTGTCACTCCCTGAGAGCAAGTGCGGTGAGGTGGCAACGGTGCCTCCCTGAGCCCTCCCTGACATGGGCAGAAGGTGAGGTGGGGTCTCCATCCAGGTGAACACCAGCATCGATGACTGGAAGACCACCAGATGGAAAGACATCAACGTTGAGCAGATGGACTTAGACTGCAAGAAGTTTGCCAAGGATGTGAGGTCCCTGGACAAAGAGGTGAAAACCTGGGACGCCTTCCTGGGGCTCGACAACACCGTGAAGAACATGATCACGTCCCTGCGTGCGGTGAGCGAGCTGCAGAACCCCGCCATCCGGGACCGCCACTGGCAGCAGCTCATGCAGGCCACACAGGTACCACGGCCAGGGGAGCAGGGCAGGGTGGCCCCGCCGGGGGCGGGAAGTGGGGGGCGCCACTCACTAGGTGCCCAGGCCCAATGCTGATAAAGCCCACAGGGACAGCATCGAGTGAGAGTGATGGACGTGGTCACACAGGCTCCCTGCTCAGAGGGCCAGATACGAGTTGGATACTCTGCTGGCCCCACGTTAAAATCTGTAGTGATTTTTGGATGGGAAGTCCCACATTTTCCTTGTGTGGGGGGCCCTGCAAACAGTGAGGCTGTCCCGGTTGCAGGTTGCATGTCCTGGGCAGGTGAGGCCCAGGAGCTCAGAGGTGAAAGTGTTTCTCGAGATAGCTCCTAGTAGTGGGTACCGGCCTTGACACTTACAGAAGGCTAACAGGAAACTCCCCACTGTCCACAGACACTGAACAAAACTACATTAAGGGCGGGTGTGGAGGCTCATGCCTGTATTCTGAGCACCTTGGGAGGCCCAGGAGGGAGGCTCACTTGAAGCTGGGAGTTTGGGATCATCCTGGGCAACATGGTGAGATGCTGTGTCTGAAAAATAAATTTGGGGGGACATATTCTCACTTTGTCACCCTCAGTAGAGTGCTATGGCATCATAGCTCACAACAGCTTCAAACTCTTAGGCTCAAGTGATCCTCTTGTCTCAGCCTCCCAAGCAGCTGAGACTACAAGTGCCTACCACAACACCCAACTATTTTTTTTTTTTTAGACACAGGGTCTGGCTTTTGGTCAGGCCAGTCTCCAACTTCTGAGCAATCCACCTGCCTGAGCCTCCCAGAGTGCTAGGATTACAGGCATGAGCCACTGTGCCAGCCCTACGAAATTATTTTTTTTTAAATTAGCCAGGCGTGGTGCTCACACCTATAGTCCCAGCTACGCTGAAGGTTGAGGCAGGAGGATCAAGAGTTTGAGGATGCAGAGAGCTGTGTTTGCACCATGACACTCCAGCCTGGGTGGCAGAGGGGGACCCAATCTCTTACAAAATAGAAGCCTGTGGTGAGCGGCTGCTGAGCAGAGGCCCCACAGCCATGTCAGGGAGCAGGGAGAGGAAGATCGAGCCCTGATCCTAAGGGAGCAAAGAAAGAAGTGATGGTATGTGAGTCCTTGTGAAGGGGGAAGAAATCATTTTTTCTCCACCCATGGGAGGTGCTCTGGCTGGGGGCCTATAAACGCAACTGACAAGAGGCAGATTAACAGGAGGAAACAAACCCAAATTGGCACGTGCGTTGTACACACCCAGTAAGCCCCGAGCTGGGCGCCTCAGTGGGGGCCTTAGAACTTGGCCGTGAAGCATCTTCATCACAAATTGTTAGGGAAGTGACAAGACAGGGGAACGGGATTAGGAGCCTGTAGGGGTGGCAAATTGTGGGGAGGTTAATCCGTGGGGGAACTAGGGGTCGCACAGGACAAGCGTCCATAGCTGTGCACCTAGGTCCTTCCACTGCCCTCTCTGGTCCGAGGAGGGTCTCCACGGACTCAGGGGATGAACTTCTGCCCTTCAAGGCAGGGGAAGGGGGCACTTGGCAAATTTATGTCCCGCTTGTCGCCAAATAGGAAGAGGCCAGAGCTTCTCTTTTATCTCCTTCTCAGTTGCTTTCAGCTCAAAATAACCTTCAAGCCCAAGTGGCACGTTTGGGGGTGGCGTGTTGGGTAATGCTAATCGTGTGGGTGCCGTGTGCGTGGGGTATTCAGTTGTAGTTCCAAGAGTCTGGAGGGCAAAGTCACCTCCAAGGGGAGGGTTGAGAAGAAAGGCTTTAAGTGGATATGGCCTGGGACCTGAGCCTGGGGAGAGGGGCTGCAGAGGCAGGCCGAGGTGGGGGTAGTGGATACATCAGAGGAGTCAAGGGCCACTTGGTCCAAAGCCAGCATGGCGGGAAGGCACAGTCACCACCTCCTGGAGAAAACCTGACTTAGGCGAGAAGTAGGAGGCCTGCTACCTGCTCTACTCTGTGTGCAGGTCCCGGCAGCCCTGGAGGGCAGCCGCTTGGGAGGGAGCAGGGGCTTCCTCCCTGCCCACTGCACGGTCCAGACAGACCCAGCCCTGCAACCTCCTGGAGATCTGGGTCTCTGGGACCCAAGCTACTGAGACAGGGGGCTCTTGAGTACTCAGGATTCCCAGTCCCCCAGCCCTCAGGCACCAGTGTCCTACCCAGTGCCAACTAAAACATCCCACTGAAAGAAGAAGTGGGCACCTCCCAGGACTCAGGGAGACCCAGGCAGGTGTTTTCACAGGTGTGGTTAGAGACACTAGATTCCGTGGGGCACAGCAGCTCACGGCTATAATCCCAGCACTCTGGGAGGCTGAGGCAAGTGGATTGCCTTAACTCAGGAGTTCCAGACCAGCCTGAGCAGGAGTGAGACCCTGTCTCTAAAAAGTAGCCAGGAGTTGTGGCAGGCACCTGGTTACTTGGGAGTCTGAGGCAAGAGAATTGCTTGAGCCCAGAGTTTGGGGTTGCTGTGAGCTACGACACTCTACCAAGGGTGACAAAGTGACATTCTGTTTTTAAAAAATAATAATAATTTAAAAAATAGAGACACTAGACTCCATCAGTTCTGCAGCAGGCTCAGAAAGGCTTATCTGCATGACAGTGAAAAGCATCTAAGGTGAGGGACCAGAAGTGATTTGAGAACTGGGCAGTCCTAGGCAAGTACCTGGGATTGGTTTTAGAGTAACCTCAGCCCCCAGGCCCACCCATCCTGGTCATTACAGCTGCGGGATTGGCCCTGGGGCTGCCCCGACAGAGGCCCCAGACTGGGCAGAACTTCTGTCACAGCTCCAGGGGCCCAGGGGTTGAAGGGCTGCTCCCTCCATGGGCTCTGGGGGAGGGTCCTTCCTGCCTCTTCCAGCTTCTGGTGGCTCCAGGTAGTCCTTGGCTTGTGGCTAAGTCAGTCTAACCTCTGCCTCTGTCACACAGCCTCTGTTATAAGAACACCTGGGTTTACGTCCCACCTGGAAAATAGAGGATGAATTTATGTCAAGATGCTTAACAGCTGCAAAGACCCTATTTCCAAATACTGTCACACGCCAAGGTGGGCGTGAATTGGGGGATGGCACTGTTCCACCTACTCCAGGTGGGCTCTGCCATTTCGTGGTTTTATGGACAAGTGACTTGCCCCAGTCTCAGAGTGAAAATAGCAGAGCAAAGCTCCGTCTCACTCCCTCCTGCAGCCATGCGCTACTTCCTGGCCCTGCCAGTGACCCCCATCTGCCCCAAGAGCGCACAGATCCTCGCATGCCTGCGTCTTTTTCCCTAGGTGAAATTTGAGATGTCAGATGAGACTACCCTGGCGGATCTGCTCCAGCTGAACCTCCACAATTACGAGGACGAGGTCCGCAACATCGTGGACAAGGCTGTGAAGGAGTCAGGGATGGAGAAGGTGCCGTGGGTGCAGCGGGATTTGTTCCCTGGGGGTGGGTGGTGGGTGGGAGGGGGCCGGCACTCGTCTGGCTCAGAGCGCCACACAGAGCTCAGTTCACGTGGGGTCCGGCGGCCCTTAACACTCAAGGGGAACCTAGAGGGCCTTCTTTCCCCCAACTCAGGCCATAAATCTTGTAAAATACTTTTAGCACTTATGTTTTTAAAAAATGCAATCCCTGGCTATAGCTGTCTCCCTGCCAGTGGCAGCGTGTACATTTTTAACCTGGAGGTTACTCATCTCCCTCGCTACCAACACCCTCATTTGGGGTCTTGTCTGCTCCTCCGTGGGGGGTCAGTCCTCTGCTCGGTAGGACTGACTGAAAGGAGGGGGCATGGCGTGGTGGTGACCCCCAGCCAGGGCCTGGGATGTCCATGAGCCCCTGGAAGACTCTGGAAGATTCTTTGCGATTGATCTCTTTTTCCTCAGCCTAACCATTTTGTGAGTTTGAATTGCCACATTTGGCACTTTTTTTTTTGTTAACAGCTTTATTGAGATATAATTCACACACACACCATTCACCCAGAGTGTAGGATTCAGTGGCTTTTAGCATATTCACAGTTAAGTGCGATCAGCACATACTAGAATTAACCAAGTTTAGAGCAATTTCGTCACCTCTAAAGGAAGCCCTTCAGCTGTCCTCTCCCAGCCCGTGTGCTCACAGCTCCCCAGCTCCAGGCAACACCAACTCCCTCCCGTCTCTCTGGATCCCCCCAGCCTGGATGTCCATGGGAACTGCATGGCAGAGGGGAGGCAAAATTTTACCTCACCCCTTTTAGGGTATTTTTTTTCCAGCTGGGCTTGAGAATTAAGTCAACATAAGGCAGATCGAGAGGATAAAAATATACGAGTTATTTAATGCACACTTTACGTGGCTCTGGAACATTCCTAAGGAAGTGAAGGCCCCAAAGTGTGGGTAGGGGGGAGCACTCACAGACTGAGCTGCGGGAGAGCAGTGAGCCCAGAGAGGTGACGGGCGGACAGGCTGGAAGGCAGGCCTGTTCCAGCAAGGACCGTGCTCACAGGGCCCCGACCGCCTGTTCTGACATGACGACACTCTCCCTCTCGCCCCGGGAGGGCGTCTTTCATGAGGGAGTTTCATCTCCTGCTTTTAAGAAACAGAACGAAGGTCAAAGTGATCTGGCACCTGTGTTTTTTGAGGGCCTTTAACAAAACAGTGAGTGGCAGGCTCTGGGCAGCATGCTCCTCGCTCCTCCCCACAGGGCATGTGGCCGTACGTGTGGGCTTCTTTCCCCAGCTCAGGACTTGAGGCTCTGCACTGTGGCACCCACCCTAGCTCCCTCCTCCTGGAGGCTGAGGGGTGCTCCTGTG